CTCAAGGCAAAGAGCACATAATGGATAAGTCTGATTATAATCAAATCTGTAAAAAAAAAACAGTGTGAACAAAGTTTAATATTCACTCAGTGTTCTGCTTATCTATCTATCTATCTATCTATCTATCTATCTATCTATCTATCTATCTATCTATCTATCTATCTATATCACGTACCCTCTTGAGTCTCATGCGAGAAACCTGATTTCATGACTGCAGCAGTATCTGGCCCCTGACAGTACTAAGTGCACCGGTTGAGTTGCCAGAACAGATGTTTGTTCCCAAACTTCAATATTTTGGGTGTTATTTATGCAGCAGCTGCATGCAATCATTTATGGCTGGAGGAGGGAGAGAAGAAGGGGTGTTGGGGTGGAGGGGAAGGGGGGGGGGGTGCCATGTACTCAGAATTTAATAATGAATCATAGAACCTCAGCGCTGGTGTATGGTGCTTGAAAGCTGGCAGACCTCTAATAATAGAAAATCAAATATACCTTGAAGATCTAAACTAGCTGAATTACATTAATCAGTTTGTTAGCGCTGGGAGCGCCAAGGGAATTATAATATTCTAGACGAAAGCTATTTTCGTTTCATTTATGTAACTACTCTGTATTCACATCACAGATCTGAAGGTCTAAGAGGAATTTCAAACTGTGTACACTCATCTCAGATTCATTAGGAACCAAAGCCTGGTTATAATTAGTTCAAAAGGTGCTAGATTTTAAAATATCACTAACTACACTCAATCTGAAACATGCTTCCAGAAATATCAAACGGAGTTTGGAATTCAGAAGTAGATATGGGATTAGGAAAGAAATAGGAAACGTGATTTGTAACAGATTTGACTCCAAATCAAAAGTGCCAGGTTTCTCAGACCTGTTTGAAAGGGTCAGTATTTAAAAGGAAAATGTATATACTGTATGTAAGAAGGCTCCTAATGGCTTTTTTTTTAGATATATATGAGAATTTACACAACTAAAAGTGGAACGGAACTCAAACGTTTTTCTATGCTATAAGGAACATCTAGAAATGGAAATAGACCCTGAAAGATGTGCCTTTGTCTTTAACGCCTCCTAAGAAAACAGTACATCTCCTGTACCTAGACTATCCTGTTCTGTAGCTTCATAGCTGTAAATCTCCAGTGCGAGATCATCTAAGGCTCCGACTGCTAGTCTAACCAAATTTGGAGTGAGATTTGATGATGCAACTACTGTGCTACTCACTGTTCTCCTTGCTGGAGAGAAAGCCGTATCTGAGAACCTGCAGTGCAAGGAACTACCAGCTTCTGCTTCGTTCATTCATCTCTGCTTTCTGAACCTCTTCTTCTGCTGCTGCTTGAATATTTCTCCACCAATCATTGAATCACCAGTCATCATAGGGACAACTTTGATATAAGGATGCAAAGTCTGTACCAAGACGGCCACCTCTTTAGGCTCCATGCACACTGGCGCTTTAATAACTATTAGCTGTGTAAAGTCGTGTTAAAAATGCATGTTTTTTGCATTAGCGTTTAGCCACGTTTTTCTGCATTTGCGGATTAAAAAAAAATGCCCCAAAACTCCAGTTTTACTGCGTTTTTCAGCGTTCGAGCATTTTTTACAGCTAAAAAACTCCTCTTGAAAACCCTCCAGTTCTCTTTTTTTTTTTTTTCAGCCAAAAAACGCCCCTGCCAGAAAACTCTGATTAAAGCCTATGTGTTTATGGATACATAAGGTATCATGCTGGGGAGTTTACTGGCTGTAGAAAAAAAAAAGCCAAAAGCTAAAAACAGCCGCTGTAAAAACATCCAGTGTGCATGAGGACTTATAGAGATACAGTGCAGAGCAAGGCATGGTAAGTCAGTAATGGGGAAAAGATGAGCTACAGGGTATACTGATATCTACTCCTTTATTCTCTGCTTAGCTTCTTATGGGCACAGCTTCCACCCAAAAGGCCCTTCTTAAAGGATCCTGTCCAGACAGAAATATAGGAGCTGCCATATCTAATTTGTTTTGGAAGTGCATGCTCCAGGGCTCTCATCCTTAGCCATGTGGTGAGGGACTACTAGGAGTGCTTGTGTGGTGTGTATTGGGTGGCATGGTGTGGTGTGTATTGGGTTGCATGTTTGCATGGTGAAATGTGTATTGGGTGCATGGTATAGTGTGCACCAGATGCATGGTCCAGCGTGGATTGGGGGGCATACTGTTGTGCATTGGGGTACGTGTTGCAGTATGTCAAATACTTGCTACAGTGCAGCATTTACAATTTAACAATAGCTAACTAATTCATAGCAGCTGGTAGGACAAGTACAAATGTATAATTTTTAGTGAATGCTGAGTTACACGTCAACTTGCAGAATGACCTGATTGAGCTGTTTGTATTGATATAGTATACAGGAAGCGTCAAAGCGACTTTATTGTAGGGGTGTATTATAAAACATTCAATGTGATTCAAAAACTATGAAAGAATTTCATTTGAAGAATTTTACAGCTGAGCACCAGTTATATACAGTATATTTAGCTGAACTTCATTTAAATATATTCTTCAGTAGCCACAAAGGATATAAATCCACTTTCTGTGCACTAAATGCCTTTGCAAACTCACATATTACTAAGTAAGTGGTATAATTACGGCGCAGAGAGCAGAGCTGTGGATGCGACCCAGCCGGCTCCACCCACTATAACCTATAGAAAACTACAGGAGGGGGTGGAGACAAGACTTGTCAGCCTGCACAAGGAGAGAGCTCAGCAATGACTGGTCAGATGTGGAAGAAATACACAAAGGAGATTTACCTGTATGTAAGAATGCAAATGGATTTTGTATTTAGACAATATTTGTTTAGTCTACTCATTGATAAAATGGTGACATTAAAATGTACTGTATATGAAAAAAAATTAAAAGGAATCTATAACTATGTTTTGAAACATTTCTTTTTTTAATTTCCTTAAAGATTAATGCTTCTAAACAGATGTATTATCAGATTATATATATATATATATATATATATATATATATATACTACCTTTATGCAAGCTTTGGTTGACAAACAGTTATTGAATGGCAAAGGATTCCCAGAGCATTATGGGTTACCTACAATGACAGTAGTTTTGAAGCTACCCTTTTCTGTTGGCTGACACCTCAGGAGGACCATCTAATCAGGGATGAGTTAAAGTGATTGTAAAGGTAAAAATATATATAATATAATATTAAAAACAACAAGCATGGTATACTTACCTGTTCTGTGCAGAGCATCCACAATCCTCTTTTTCTCTGGTCCCCTGCTGGTGCTCCTGGCTCTTCCACCCTGCTGAGTGCCCCCAGAGCAAGCTGCTTGCTATGAGGGCATTCATGCAGTTTGGCTCTCAAACCGTGCTCTGTGTGTCCATTGACACACACAGTGCATCTCAGCACTGCTCCCACCTCATTGGCTATGATTGACAACATCAGGAGTTAATGGCTCCTGCTGCTGCCTCTGAGCCAGTGAGGAGAGAGAGAAGCAATGTTGCTGTTGGGCACAGGGGTGGCTCGACATCTGGCTCAGGTACAATAAGTGTAAACAACAAGCTTTTCACAACAAAGGAACAAACGTGAAAGAGAGGAAAATGTGAAATGAACTGGAAGATAGATCACTGACAATATTTATATGCAAAGTTTCATATTTACCTGCCCAAAATAATAGAAAAAAGAAAAATATTTAAAAAAAAGTTTGCATTTATAGTTTTGACCAAAATAAATTAGGAAAATATATACAAAACCTCTTTACCATACCTTTCAAACTAAATATTCCTGATGATGAAATGTTTTCTCTTCTGCTTGCTTGTTTCATGCCATCAGTCAATGCGTTATTTACATTAATACGGTAAGCAGGTTAAAAAAAGCTTTATAACCTGTGAAAGTTGAAAGATCAGATATACTGTTTTGCCACATGGCACACACATTGCTGTCCCATCAACACAAGTTTTATATATAGAGATTCCAAAGCTGGAGAAGCTTTATGTGTCAGGCATTCATGAAGAATGGGCTGTTATCTAACAGGGCAAATCTCTCTACATGCCACATGACAATGGCAGATGGACATAAGTCACTCCGAGTCAGAGGCATGTTTTTAACGATCAACCAGTAAATGCTTTTAACTACATTATTTTGCTGTTTATTTTTTATAATTTGACTTGGGAAGTTGTAATGTCATAAAAAATTATACATAAAAAAAAAAATGACTTCTGGCCATAGCAAAGACTTCTGGCCATAGGAGTATTTAGAATGGGACTGAGTGCACTTAGAGCGACACTAAACACTGTTTAAAAAGATATTCAAGCATGTATTCTTACTCAAAGTCATTTTTGTTACTCTCAGCTTCCCCCAAAAAACACCAAATTGCTTTTTTTTTTTTTGCTGTTCAACTTTCTGCAAGAGAGGGTGGCTGTGTTCATGCTCCTTGGTACCACTACATACAGGAATGTAGCCACCCTCTCTTGCTCATTCCCGAGGTAAATTATGGACTATGGAATTTATAGTGTGCATAGAACAATACATATGTATGAATTATTTTTGGAGACTATGGATATTGTTTAGTGGCACTTTAGCTGTCCTTACAACAGTAACATTTTGTTTGAACACTCTCATGGTAATTCTGAAAAATCATTCATCAGACCATTCAAACTTGCCATCAGTCGATGAACTAATTTTGTTTGTAAGCCCTTACAACTTAGTTCAGACCTGCTAATGAATAGAATTGCAAAAGTATTAAACAGGTTTTATACTGCATGGTCAAAAAAAGTCATCAATTAGGTCCCACTAACCTTTAGAAGATTAAACAAATGTTGCAAAAAGGAACATTTGTGAACAAAATTCTACTGACATACATGGCGTTCTTAACACTGGAACTGTGCTAAGTCACAATAGTGATCAGTGACTATATAGAGATACACTATATTGCCTAAAGTATTGGGACCCCCCTCCAAATTGTTGGATTCCGGTGTTCCAATCGCCTCCATGGCCACAGGTGTATAAAATCAAGCACCTAGGCATGCAGACTGCTTCTACAAATATTTGTGAAAGAATGGGTCGCTCTCAGGAGCTCAGTGAATTCAAGCGTTGTACAGTGATAGGCTGCCACATGTGCAATAAGTCCATCCGTGAAATTTCCTTGCTACTAAATTTTCCACGGTCAACTGTTGGTATTATAAAAAAGTGGAAGCAACTGGGAACAACAGCAACTCAGCCACAAAATGGTAGGGCAGATAAAATGACAGAGCGGGGTCTGAAGTGCACAGTGTGCAGAAGTTGCCAACTGTCTGCAGAGTCAATAGCTAAAGACCTCCAAACTTCATGTTGCCTACAGATTAGCACAACCGTGCATAGAGAGCTTCATGGAATGGGTTTCCATGGCCAAGCAGCGGCATCCAGTTCCAGTGAAGGCAACTCTTAAGGCGTCAGCATACCAAGACATTTTGGACAATTTCATGCTCCCTACTTTGTGGGAACAGTTCCTGTTCCAACAAGACTCCGCACCAGTGCACAAAGCAAGGTCCATAAAGACATGGATGTGCAAGTTTAGAGTGGAGGAACTTGACTGGCCTGCAGAGTCCTGACCAGGGGTGGACTGACCATTCGGGCATTGGGGGGCCCGGTGAGAGGTTCACTGGGCACAATTCACTAAACCGTATCTTACCACATCTGAGTATGCGGTAAGATATTGCATAGCATTTAAAATAAAAAATGTTTGAATTTGAGGCGTCAACAACCGGGGCATGCTGGGTCAATGATGTCATAAGGAGGTGTGATCACATGTGTGATGTGATCCTATTTAAGAACTGTCAAGCCAGCGGAGCAGTCAGATGGCCGGTAGCCAGTGTTGGGAACAGAGACTTTTTTTTTTCCTTTTGGCGTCGTGATTATCGTTGGATCTACTTCAGGGTTCATTCTTTTATTTTTCTTCTTTTAACCTCCTTGGCGGTATGATTCTTTCCGATTTTTTGTGCTGAAAGCGGTACCATTTTTTTGTATGGAAATATGTAGTTTTTTATTGTAGGCTGTAATTTTTAGGAAAAACTCACTGAAATCTGTACGAACAAGAGTCTATTAAACATTCCGAATATGATAAAATTTGAAACACAAAATCATAAATTATAATTTTAATAAATAATCATAAAAAATAATAATATACTAATAATACATTTACCGTAATTCAATAATATAATCAAACCAAAAACACTGAAATTTGAAATACAGAGGCAAATTCGCACATCGCTGAGCAAAGTCGCAAAATCGTTTTCAGTGTCTGATGACGAATTTCCCCACGAATCATTATCACTCAATTCTGCAAGTGGTTCTGATTTACTATCGCTGTTCTAAAACCGCTTTTGACGTAAAGGGACGCTTTTTGGACGCCATGGACTTTCCTAAGTTTCCAGGCAGAAAGAACAGTAAAAATGCAGACAGGGGGCAGGACAAAGCAGTAGGGACAAAATGTATGCGAAATGCATTGAAATAGCAATGACAGCAAAAATTACATTTTTTAAAAAATTCAAATTTCCCGCCGGTTCCGGCGCCCGTACGTCCCGACGTCACAGGGACCGGAACACAGGAGCCGGATGTCGGCATCGGCCGGAGGAGATGGCCGGGGACGCTGGAGGGGACGCATCGTGGGAGCGAAGAACAAGGTAAGTGCTGCAGGGACTCCCAGAACAGCGCCGCATGGTAAGCTCGAGTGTAGCTCGGGGTTACCGCTTTTGGTATAGAAATTTTACCCCGAGCTACACTTGGGAATACCGCTAAGGAGGTTAATAAAGGACTTTTCAAAGACTGCCTCCTGTCTTTTTTTTACACTACACTATTTTTTTTGTGAATGGGTAGCGGTATCATGTACCCCATACTCATTCACACTGGGGGGGGGCAGGATCTGAGTGCCCCCTTGCTAAAGGGGGCTTCCAGATTCTGACAAGCTCCTTGCCCGCAGACCCCCACAACCACAGGCCAATGGCTTGTGGGGAAGAGGCCCTTGTCCCCATCAACATGGGGAACCCCCCCAAAGCATGTGACCTGGTATGGTTCAGGAGGCGGGCACTCGCACATCCCCCCCCTTTCCTGACCTGCCTAGCTGCATGCTTGGATAAGGGTCTAGTATGGATCTTGCCATTTTTTTAAATTTTGGCATGGGGCTTCCCCTCAAAACTCATACCAGACTCGAAGGGCTTGGTATGGATGGAGGGGGCACCCCACTACGTTGTTTTATTATTTTTTTAAATTTTGAATGCCCTTTCTATGCAGCTGAGCTGCAATATGTAGGTGAGGTGTTGTGTGGGTGTGGCTTTGGCTTGAATATAGGTGGAGATACAGGGGGCTCCATTATCTCTTATTGCCCGGGGACCTCATGAGTTGTCAGTCTATCCCTGGTCTTGACTTCAATCCGATAGAACACCTATGGGATGAATTAGAGCAGAGACTGCGAGCCAGGCCTTCTCGTTTGACGTCAGTGCCTGACCTCACAAATTTCTGAAAGAATGATCAAACATTGCCATAGACACACTACTAAACCTTGTGGACAGCCTTTCCAGAAGAGTTGAAGCTGTTATACCTGCAAAGGGCGGGGCCAACTCAATATTGAACCCTACGGACTAAGACTGGGATGCCATTAAAGTTCATGTGTGTGTAAAGGCAAGCGTCCCAATACTTTTGGCAATATAGAATATATAGTGTGGTCTCAATAGGAACCACACTGCCAAGGTCTCTAAGTCTGTATCTGCAAAAAGTTCACGTTTCGTAACTTGTTACATGTTACACCAAGGTCAAGGTGTAACATGTTACAATATTACCTGCCCCCACTCCCCGCTTTGACAGCTAGCGTAGTTCTTCTCCCCCCTCACTAGCTGTCAAATTAAAAAAAAAAAAACATGGCCGTGCGGGGCTCCGCCCACCTGGCCACATCACTCATGCACAGTCAGTATTCTGTGAATGAGAGACTACAAGTCCCAGCAGCCTTAGAGGCTGTCAGCTTGTAGTCCTCAATGAACTACCACAGCGCTGTGGAGCGCCGTGGTAGTTCGTTCATTCTTCCTGTCAGTATATCTGCTTGCCCGTACATCCCGTATGAGCAAGCAGATATTCTGACAGATCTGCAGGAGACCTGCATGGTATCAGCGATCTGCTGATCGCTGGTGCAATGCTTTCCAGGCTCCTGCAGACAAAATAATAAATGCACATTTTTTTACCTGCAAAAAAAGTGCATTTATTATTTTCCACTAAAAGGTGAACTTATCCTTTAACAACCAACGATTCCAAATGAATTTAAACAAATGCTGAACATAAATGAACAAATTCCAAAAACGTACCAGTTTAACATAATGAAACTAAATTCTTCGATTAATGAATGCATCCGAAATTAAATGAAAATTTGCAGCGTGCACAAATCTACCTCTCACCCTCTGCTGCGCTGCTAAAGCTAAATGGTAAGGCTCTCATGCGAAGAGGTGACTGTATGATTGGGGGCGCACTGTGATAGGGGAAATGTGTGATTGGAGTGCTCTGTGATTGGGGAACTCTGATGTGATAGGGGTCCTCTGAAGTGAAAGGGGCACTTTTATGTAATGGGGGAAGGGGGGCATCTGATGTGAAGGGGTCTCTGATGTGAAGAGGGGACTCTGATGTGATGCGGGAACTTCTGATGTGAAGTGGTGACTGCATGATAGGGGGCACTGTGATAGGGGAACTGTGTGACTGAGGGGCTCTGTGGCAATGGGGGGACTCTTATGTGATGGGGCGGCTCTAATGTAATGGGGGGAATCAGGGGCGGACTGACCATTTGGAAACTCGGGCACTGCCCGAGGGCCCGGGGTCAGTAGGGAGCCCCATGAGATGCCCCTGGTACCTTTTTTTTCATAGGCTTTTTTGGGTTTGGGCAAAGACACAGGGGCCCCATAATCCCCTATTGCCCGGGGGCCCCATGAGTTGTCAGTCCGCCCCTGGGGAGAACTCTGATGTGATAGGGGTCATCTGTTGTGAAAAGAGCACTCTGATGTCATGAGGCACATTTGATGTGAAGGGGCACGCTAATGTGAAAAGGGGGCTCTGATATGATGGTGGAACCTCTGATGTGAAGGCAAAATCTATGAAGTAAAGGGGGAATCACTGTTATGAAGGGAACATTGTGTGCATTGTATGGCAGACTTAAGTTTCCTACTGATATGTAACATTTATATTTTTTTTACATTTTAGACTAGGGTGCCTTGAAATTTTTCTTACTTTTAAAGATTACATGAAATAAGTTTGAGAAACGCTGCTCTAAGGTAATCAGAGCTCAAATGATTTGCACACTGCTGTCAGTCCAATGCTAGTGGATGCTTACAGGAGGGGAGAGCTTAGGGAGGACCTCATCATCTGCTCCTTTATTGTCCAATCATGAGCTGGGGTGTGCCATGGACCAGACTGAATTGCTTAGCAGCTTCCTTATTTCTCCGGGGGTCCAGTGGTAAGATACACCGCTAGACATTACGACCTCCATTAAACAGCTCATACCTTCATTAAGGCATTGTGGAAGGCAGCAAAGACACAAACTAACTGAAGTTGGCCTTAAACCTCTCCTGTTTTCAGTAGCATCAGGTCTCAGTTTCTTGTGATGACACTGGGAGCTGATGCTAATTTATATCTCAGATATCTCACCATCTTGCTGTGGCTGATCGTTCAGCTGTCTGTTCATTCATGTCAGGTTGGGACGCGGCCAAATGGATTGAAAAGAGTCACCCTATTCTGCTTACGTAGGCTATCACAGCACTTAGGTGAAATAAAATAGACTTCTTACTAAGGCTAAAATTAAAATTAAATGACTTTGTCAGGAGTCTGTACATGATTATCATTACTGATCATCTGTGAACTGGAAAAGATAAAAAGATTTTTTTTTTTTAAAATGGCTGGAATGGTGCTGAATAGGCACAGAAAAAGGCTCCAAGCATGGTTATCACAGGACCTTTTGCTCCAAAACAAATTGAAGACACAGATAAAAGAATTAGGCTGTTCAGGGACACTAAGCAAAGCTGACGTTTTTTCTGATGAATCACTATGCTCCTAAATACTACAGTATATACATGCAGATCAATTCATTTTGTAGAAAACTGGACATTTCATCCTATGCATTTGGGATTGCTGGACAGATTATTATTGTTATTATTATACAGGATTTATATGGCGCCAACAGTTTGCTCAGCGCTTTACAATATAATGGGAGACAATACAGCAGCAATACAGTTCAATACAAGAGGGATAGGAGTGCCCTGCTCCTTGGAATTTACAATCTAGAAAATTGAATCTGTATACATCCTGTATGTATTTATTACTATAGAAAAATCAGGATTTGCTGAAAAGGATAAGCCTGATTCTTGGATGGAATCCCTTCTTGGATGGAATTCCTAG